AGTGTGTGTGTGTGTGTGTGTGTGTGTGTGTGTGTGTGTGTGTGTGTCAACACGATAACTTGAGAAGGCCTTGATGGATTGTCTTGATACTTGGTAGATGGGTAGGTCTTGATGAGACCTCAAAATGATTAGATTTTGGACCCCCTAACGGCTTGTTATGGTACTGCAGCTGAACTTCCGGTTTTGATATCTCAAGATCCAGACATGCTATGGTGATGAAATTTGGATGGTAGGTAGCTCTTGTGCTGGGAAAGAAGTGACGTGAGTTTAGGCCCCCTATCGGCTTGCTCTAGAACTGCAGGGGGGTTTAAAGGACAAATGTTTAAAAGAGGATAACTCAAGAACCGATTGATGGATCATCGTGATTTTTGGTATGTAGGTAGCTCAAGTGACGCTTGACATAATGATATTACAATTATGCGAATATCGATGTAATTTGCATAATTAATGAGGAAATTCTATAAATCATCTGCATTCCATGATAGGAAGTTCAAGCTTGTAAAATATGTTGTTAAGAACGAGAGAAACACAGGCAAATATTGATTATGCAAATGAAGACTTAATTTGCATAATTAATGAGAAAATGTTATAATTGCGTAGTGGTAACTGCCTGGAATTTCATACTTGGGGTGTTTGAAAGTTAAGTGAAGGTGAACAGAATTAAACATAACTTATTTAAATAAGGACCACATTTGCATAATTTATGAGAAAATGGCATTCTTTGTTAAGATAAGACTATCTTTTGGTGGAGAATATGATCAACAGACTGATATAATTCATGCAATTGAGGATCCTATTTGCATAATCAGGGTGATTAGTATATTTCTTATTCATAAAGGCTAACATCATTTGGCGAAGGTATGAGATCGTGGAACTCTAGTTTTTATTATAGTAGTAATCGGGAATAATTTGTGACTGAAAAAAACTCTTTAAACGACACCGACCTATGTGTTGGAAATATATATATTCATAGGGTAACCTACCTTCTCAATTGTCGATTTAGTTCAATATATGATTCGAAGACTTTCAGTGTTCAAGATGGCGTCAGAGCTAACGGGTCCTCAGTAATCACTCTCCCGTCCGTGCCGGGCATTTCGCGTCATTCTCGCTGTTTTTCCACCCCTGAGGCTCTCAGAAAACTTGTCACTTCTGAGGCAACATACTTACCTTCGAATGCCGTCACGTAAGGGCGCAAAAAGGCAGAGGAAACAGGATCCACGGAGCTCGACTTCTGACGAATCCTTTAGAGAGGAGGGGCCGACTGTAAAGATGGCGAATGTAACGCTGAACAGTATTGCACGTCAGCTGTCTTCTCTGGCAAACCAAACCTCCTCAAGCTTCGTGAGACTTACAGAAACAGTCACAACCATGAGTGAAGACATCAGGAGCCTGCGTCTTGAAGTATCAAGTGTCCAAGACAGCGTCAACCTTGCCTTCAAAGAAATTGAATCGGTCAAAGAGGACGCGGGTAAAAAAGCAGAAATGCTCAACAAGCGCATCGACGAGCTGGAAGCCAAAGTTCTGCAAGCAAAACGAAATCTGCTCCAAACGACAAAACCTGCTTTTCTGGGGAATTACTTTCAAGGATGGAGAAGATGTTGTCCAGCAAGCCTATGACTTTATTGACAAGAAACTGAGTGTTGACAACGCCAGGAGATTTGCATTTGTAAACGTGCACCGGATGCCGAGGATGAGCGGTAACCCGATTGACAAGTCGCAAGTCGGCTCGCTAATCACCTGGGTGAGATTTACCATAACTGATGCTTGAAATAGTTTTGAGCCGACTGGTGTAATTGGATCACTGGCCCACCACGCACTATGCTTAGCATTAAAATCACCTGTTATTATGACAGCGTCGTGGTTGGATGACCCGGCTGCAAAGACTGAGTCAGTAAATGAGTCAATGAATTGATTAACAGTACTGGAGTCCTGGCTAGGAGGACGGTAGTAAACAGAAAAGATGATACGCTGGGAAGAGTTCGAGCCAGATGCATTCAACAAACTGGGGCTCTAGATCAAAGCGTCTCTTGTATGCGATCTGGTCAGATATGTAAATAAGGACGCCACCACCATGCCGGTTCCTGTGTAGACAGAGATATTCTATATGTTACTATCATGCCCTGTCAACATTTCCACTTATGTAGGCCAATTTGTACACAATTCCGTGACAAAACGAGAAAACGTAATTAATTCCTGACACAATTTATTACTACATTGTATTAATAGAGTTAGATTAGTATAATTAGTGTCTCTCTTTTGTTATACATTGTTTATGAAACAGACCAGATTCCTAATATAGTTTGCAGAACTGTTAGATATTCTCAACACCACCATATGTGTATGTTAACACCACAAACTATGTATGTATCATTTTGCCATACGTTGTACCTGCTACATCTGTTGCGCAATAAAGTTCTTCTTCTTCTTGTCATGTCTTACTGGAGCTTGAAAACCATCTAGAGAAATGGCAACTGAGTCAACAGCCTCGAGTTCACCCAACCATGTTTCGGAGATAGCAACCACATCAAGCTTAAATCTATCTACAAGAGCAGACAACTCGTCCATTTTAGCACCAGCTACTAAACTATTTACATTAATATGCATAAAGTTAATTTCTTTACGACAGGCCCTGGATAGGGATGAATGTCTCCCGCTAGCAGGATTACAATAAAAGCGATAAAACTAAGATGTAAGTTAGAGTCTTGTATGGGTTGAGTGTATACTTACGGTTGACCTTGAGTATGAAATAAAAACCAGCGGAAAACATACCGATGACTGTCCTGTACTTCGCAGTATCTATTGGCATGGTTTTGAACCCTTTCTCAGCAATCTAATTAGATCCGTTAAACTTTGAGTAATTGAAAAGGACATGCCCATTGTTGTGAACATAGATTGACACATAACAACAAAATAACAATGAAATGGAACAGATAAGTGCGACATTGCAAATAAGTTCAGTCAATGTCAATCAAGTCAAAGCAGCCACAAAAACCGGGCTTACATAATACTAGATGTGTCTATTGTCCCTAATGAGAGAAGACTTGAAGTAGTCGTCAGGGGTTGTGTAGGACTTGCCAGCAACGTAGAGAGTCATCGTCACTCCTCGGAGACGGAACTTGGGTTTTGCTCCCTTGGCCTTGGCGTGTTTGTAGGCATCACGGAGTAGTTGTTTTTGCTTTTGTAGGGCAACAGGTAGGTGCTCACTTACCCCAACGCCAGATCGTGGTTGTAAGCGGTAAGCATGGCGCAGGACTACATCACGCTCAATCATAGAAACAAACTTAACAATAATCGGGTTACCGCTCATCCTCGGCATCCGGTGCACGTTTACAAATGCAAATCTCCTGGCGTTGTCAACACTCAGTTTCTTGTCAATAAAGTCATAGGCTTCCTGGACAACATCTTCTCCATCCTTGAAAGGAATTTCCCAGAAAAGCAGGTTTTGTCGTTTGGAACAGATTTCGTTTTGCTTGCAGAAGTTTGGCGTCCAGCTCGTCGATGCGCTTGTTGAGCATTTCTGCTTTTTTACCCGCGTCCTCTTTGACCGATTCAATTTCTTTGAAGGCAAGGTTGACGCTGTCTTGGGCACTTGATACTTCAAGACGCAGGCTCCTGATGTCTTTACCCATAGTTGCAACTGTTTCTGTAAGTCTCACGAAGCTTTGGGAGGTTTGGTTTGCCAGAGCAGACAGCTGACTTGCAATACTGTTCAGCGTCACATTCGCCATCTTTACAGTCGGCCCCTTGACCACCGCGGAAAGCTCCTGGGCATGCCTCCAGACCTTGACCAGCCAATGACCAACTACGGCGTGGATTCCATGATGACCATCGATATTGTCAACTGGATGAGCAAAACTTCCAATCACAGTGTCTCTCAACTTGACATCATAAGTGGGATGACCGCAAGCACACTAATCGGTAAAATCACGGATTAAAAGATATTCCTCTTCTCGAAAAACGGATTCCAAAAATAATACATTAGGGGACTGTATTAGTATACGCGTACGAGTTGCACAATGAGTCTGAACAGAATATAAGTATTAATCAAGTAAAATGATTTTAGGGGCACTTATACATATAATCATGATTGGTGTAAGGCATATTGTTTTATAAAGTTTCAAAAATGTCAATTGGAAAACCATCCTAGTTGTTAGATGTAGTTCAGTTCAGTAGTCTTAGCTAACATTATGGTTTGAGACAGGTGTTCATAATCATTTGTACCTGGGATATGTAACCAAAAATGTGACAGGGGTCTATATATATAAACAGCAATAAAAAAAGTATTTGGACTAACTAGATCCACCAAATTTTGAACCTATAGTAGTACTAGTAGTAATAGTTAGTAGTAGACTGGTTTATTAGAACTTAAGTTAGTACATGAATGCCTCCTGGCAGCCGTAACGGGCTGAATTGTGAGGCGATTTTACAGACGTGTCAGTCTAACTTAAGTAGTAACTGTTACACATTTAGTTAAAATCGTTACGATATAATGCAATGTTAAAATTGGCGTGTTCAATCATTAAAAATTCTAAGGACAAGTACTCAACTTGTGATACTAGCAGCACTAATGTTGACTTAAAAACAATTTTCGAGGATGTACCAGTAACATTAGAACAAAGTAAAAGATCGCAAGTGTGTGGAGCAACCTGTAAAACATGGACTTTACATGATATGTAGTTTCAAACTAGTGAGTATTGCTACTATCCTCCAAATTAGTCTCTACTTTATAGGTTGTCAAGTAGTCATAGCTAACGTATGATTTACTTGCAACAAGGAATTCGCAAATGTTTTTTTTTTACAATAGGCTAATGGATTATTCGACCTTAACTTTAGACCTTGATGATGTAAGACAAATGCTCGGCCTCAGTGAAATATAGTAAGTGTAGTCTTGATGTGGGTATACATATTTCAAGTACTCGGCTACATAAAGGAACTAAAAATTGTTTTCCATTCAACACAAAGGATGGGAGGAAAGTATTGATTCATAAATATCGTGTGACTCGCTAATGTTCAACATTAAAAAGCATGTTAAAGTGCGTAATTCGTCTAGTCGTATGATATAATTTCAATTAAAGACTCGATTATAACTCCAATTTATCACTTTAACGATTGCATTTACTTATTGTTTCAAGACGTGGCACTCCTAATTGACAGTCAGTATTTCTTGTGTTGAGAGTTGATGAGCCACCAACGCAAAATGGTGTGCTGAAGTGCACAACTGTGCATCAAACGGAAGAATCGACATTTCAATGTCCCGGCACAATGGCCAAAAACAATTTTAGTATGAAAATACAAGCAATAAAATCAAGTCATTGAACGATACCCACACCTTTGTTTTTGTTGATTTATAGTGATAATAATCGCCGGTATGAAGAAGTGGGCAATCATAATTAGACAAGACAGGGCCAGTCTTTGCCCATAACTGGAAACAAAGCAAACAAATCACAGCTGTTGTTGCACATAGTGGTCAAGTATGAAAATACGGACACCAAGCACAACCAGCCTTAGGCCATCTCTACTCATGACGTTCGAGCCTCAGAGTTCGAGCCTAATCCTGTGTACAACTGGACAGATGGACATCAAGAGACTCAGCCCTACACTAAATCATTGATGGGTCAGTTTCGCAAACAAATGAAAGGGTCCACTACACACCATAAGGTGTTTCTTGCAGTACAAACGCGCTATCACGTTCCATAACCATAAGCAGCTAAATATGCACTATTGAGTAAATTATATTACTTTTTATCACCACAGATGAGCTGCGTCACAAAGAAACCTGTGTCTAGCAATGTTTACGCGAAACCTGATTGGTCGAGAGGTAATCTCTGCCAAGATTTTCAAATAAGTACAAGAGAACTTGTTGAATTCCCAGGATTTTCATCCATATCTGTGTGGAGCTGGTAGACCCCTGACGAGTGAGAAGCATCGTGCCAGGTGTTCTGATGATGTTTCTCTCCGGCTAAACCTAAAGTTACGTATAAACAAAATAAGGTTTTGTCACTGAAAATGCCAAATTCATTTTTGACTCCCATAATTAACTCAACCTTGTTGAAGGCGGCCATGTGGGCGTCGGGAATAGATAAGACATAAAATGGAATGTTTAGAGTACATCAAAGTACATGTATGATGGGCAGACAGTAAGCCTGTCTTATAAATTATGAATAATTCATTATATAATCTTGCGTACTTAACCTCCATTTAGCATAATTAGGAACATGAGAAATCCAAAGTATGGGAAATAAACTTGCAAAATTTGAAAGGCATCAGCATGATCAATAAAAACATTTTATTGCACTTAACCTCTGTAAAAGCAATCTATTAATCTATCTGACCCTTACCTTTACGGCGAAATCTTCACTCCTTTTCTCCTTGTTTTGGTATAACTGATAGGAGCGGGAAAATTAAAAAAAATATATTTCCGATGGAAAGTACGTACTTGTCTTGAATAGAAACAACGTGATAACAATCTGGTGACGTTCTGAGAAAAAAGAATGGATTCTTTTTACCTCGAATCTCTAATATGAAGCTATCTGCGTGTTTTCAAGGCGTATTTGAAATAGATGCAAAGAGAAATGACTAGAACTCGTTCATGGAACCTACCGATATCTGGGAATTTGTTCTTCAGACCATCAACTACGCTCTGTAACTCTGCCTCTGACAGAGCCTCCATCAGGACCTCTTTGGTAGCGGCGTCTCCCTTCTTCTTCTTCCATTCCTGCAGCATGTCCATACAGCGGGACTTGTCGTCGCGGTTTCGGCCGGCGATGTTTGCGATGTCGTTGCCTTTAAATCCAAGATGGAAGGATAAATCCATCCAGCCTGTGCTAACTTCTTCCTTTGTGGAATGGAAGTACTTCTCAACACCTGAAAGAGATAGCGGAACACTGTCATTCAAGTTTGAGACACGTCTTCTCAATTCATCATTAGTTTTAGACTCAACATTTTATCACGGCTTTCAGTATACCATATCGGGTTACGACATGTAAGGCAGTTGAAATTTCAAAAATTAACTAATAAATATTTTGATGTTATGTGTTTTAAGACCACAAATCTGCTGTAAGTAAAAATTAATGACTTTTGTTGAATTGTCTTACCTTCAAAATCGCCTTCAGCTTCCCTTGACATCTGTAAATGGAACAAATATATATATAATATGCATTTGACATTCTCGTACCATTGGCATCACACATACAGTGAGCAAAGAACGGGCTATTCAATATGTGTGCGTTATTTTTGACAGAAGGGTAAATGTGTGTTACTTCTTGTCATTTCCTTCACATTTATTTCAAGTCATAACGTATCAGTTTTTAAATCGTACAAAATTACAAAAAAGTACTAAATTTAGCAAAAAATGCCTGTCAGAAACCCGTTGCCATGGCAACACAAAAAATTATAATCTTATTCCAATGATAGAGAATTGTTGCCAACAATATTTTAGGAAAAGTCACCAAGTTTGGCCGTTCTACGGCTAGCCGTTCAGACGCTAGGTGACATCAAAGTTGCCGCGGGTACTTTTAGCCCCCCCCCCCCGGTCTAGGTAGGGTTAATGTCAATGAAGGTTAGACATCCGGGTAGTAAGATACGCAAAATAAAACTCAAGCACTTTCGGGTGCTCAACCATATGTGGACTTTGTGTGACGTTTAGTTCCTTTTGGACCATCAACATTTTCCACACTTAGCATGAAAGTTCATATGTGTTTGTACAAGTCATTATGGAATAAAGACTAATCTTTAACTTCCAACACTTAAATTACAAAATTGGGACTTACCCCAAATTTTCGACCGCCAACATTGAATCTCCGGTACATTCAGTATCTCTGGAAGGGGTTAAAACCCTCGATTCTGAATCGGACTTTTTTGCAAGGGGGGTAAAGGAGGCGGTCTACATAAGAGCTCACAGACCTAACCTGAACAGATACGGAGGGCGACACAAGTTATCTGGCACGTATGACCCGCTACTACGGTCACGTGTCTCTGACGTCACGTTCCAAGAGTAAACGGGTCCATTCCGTGAACAAGGTTGATGGAGTCAACCGAAAATTTGGGGTAAGTCTCAATTCTGTAATCTAAGTGTTAGAAGTTAAAACTTAATCTTTATTTCATAATATTTTCCACACTTATTTGCATGTTTATCAATAGTTCGTGCTAAAATAAATAAGAGGATAGTTTATTTTCATCATTTTGATCGGATATCGATAGCACATCGTATTTATAGGCTAAATTTGCTGAAATATAAACCTACTTTTCTGTAAGTTGTAGTGTGTCACTGACGAAAGGCAGTGGATGCTACCTGAAACGTCTGACCGCTTTCAAAATCACACCCAGTTGCTAGAGTAACTGTCTTTTTTTTGGGGGGGGGGGGAGGGGTTCATTTTAAGACATTAACTGAAAATATTTTGAGGTCATTAAGTACTGGCATGATTGTCGAGGAGATTTAGAACATTTTAAACTAAGTACGCAATTTTCATACTTGACGATGTAAACGCCAAATCGATTAAAAACTTTATCATAATAAGCACTAAATATGCGTGACGTTCAACACTTAATCATAACAATCACCTGTGAAACCTTACCTTATTCCTACTGACCACCTGTGCTCCATGCTTCAGAAGGAGTTTAGCAACACCGACATGTCCTCCTTCAGTTGCATAGTGAAGTGGCGTGTTTTCAAACTGTCAAAGCAGGAACAGTAATGGCACGGTTAGATCATTTATTCACCCATTCAGTCCCTCATTCATTCATGCCTGTTGTTGGAGTTTCCACCGTTATCACAATCAACACTTAAAATGCTCATGACGCCAAAATATGACTTAAGCTTGTCTTAGGCAGTATGTCAAAGACGTTGTCAATAATGATTGTGGATATTTGTGTTAATTCTTGTATTAATGCCTGTGTAAATAAATGTAAATAAATGTGTAATGAATTTGCATGTACAACTGGACGTAATTCAGCCTTTGGCTGCAAAGTCCACGTTTTTTATGAATAAAACACCATTTGATTGATTGATTTATTGATTGATTGATTGATTGTTTTATTGATTGATTAAGCTGATTTTAATCGGCATAACTAGTATTGCCTAGCTAACAGAAACATTTACAATGAATATGCACGGTTCTCCTGTTACACTCGAAATTTTAATGGGAAAAGTTAGCACAAGCCGGTCCTGTCAGGCGATTTGCATCTCTACATTTTTAATTTTTGCATGTCTGTATTTTTTCCTGAGCTGATGTCACCAGTGATGTCAGTGATTGGAACAAACTTCAAGTGACTATATTGTATGTATACTTACGATACTTGTATGTATTTAACAGACTTTTTTGGTGTCATTTGGTCTTTAATATGCGTGACGTTCAAAAACACAAAAGCGCTCATTGACTGTAGTAAGTATTAACTCTTACGTCACCCCTACTGTCCACCTGTGCTCCAGCCTTCAGGAGGAGTTCAGCAACACCAACAACCCCTTCTTCAGCTGATTTGTGGAGCGGCGTATTTCCAAACTGCATCAGCAAATAACCATACCTTCAAGTAACAGAGTTATCAACCAAGGATTGAGGTATTCAAGAATTCATTATTTCCTAGAACTATCGCAGAGTGGAACTCACTGTACAGTAGGGGCATTGTCATTGGATCGGTTTAAACAGTGCCTACAGTTAGATGTTCAAGGGTTATGTGTTACAAGTCGGTCTGTGTAATGTAGTCAGCTGCCGCCGCGCCGCGTGCCTGCAAAGCTGGTGTGTTTCGCCGAAAGGCGGTTATAAGGGCTATGCAGATACAGATACAACAAGAACAGAGATGTCATTACGTACAAGTTGTTAGAGAACCCTGCGGCCATTATCATAACAAACACTGAATATTTGTGGCTTTGAACGCGGAAACATACCCATTACGTTAGTAGATGCCATACCTTGTACACTGTACAATTGTTGCGCAATAAAGTTATGTATTATGTAGAAGTAAGCGTCAGCATGCACCTACCTCATTCCTAATGTCCACCTGTGCTCCAGCCTTCAGGAGGAGTTCAGCAACACCAACATGTCCTCCTGAAGCTGCACAATGAAGTGGCGAGTTTCCGAACTAAAACAGCAGGGATAAAGATGACAAAAGAAAAACTTTACTGCGCAACAGATGTAGCGGGTACAACGTATGGCAGAATATACATACATAGTTGATGATGCTAACATACATACATAGTTGATGATGCTAATTATAACATACATACATAGTTGGTGATGCTAAAAATATCTAACAATTCTACTAACTGTACTAAGAATCTGGTCTACTTTCATTAACAATGTATAACAATAAAGAGATACTGATTATACCAATCTAACTCTATTGATAGTAATATAATATTGTGTCAGGAATTTATCACATTTTCTCGTTTTGTTAGCGAATTGTGTATAAATTGGCCACATAAGTGTATATATTGACAGGACATGATAGTAGTATATTGAATATCTCTGTCTTTGTATGGGTAGTGTTATATTGGTTTTACATGTAATATATTGCAACAATTTTCGTCGGTTTTCATCATAGGTTGGGCAATCTGTTATAAAATGTAATTCGTTTTCAACGCCTTTATAAAAATTATGGCACGTGGCATGACGTGAATACTCTCCAAGCAGAGGTTTGTGTTTTAGGTTATTTTTGGCGTGTTTTTAGACTTTGACTTTTTTTATCGGAGTTTCTTTTCTGCACTGAATTTTTTCCCCACCCAACCCAACTTCTACCGGCACTCACCCCGGGGAGGGGCAAACTTATTCAATAAACGTGACAGTGCTCCTCCCCGGGAACCATCAAATTATCATTAGGGATATCCATTTTACTGTGGTGGATTATCACACATCTAGCCAGTCAGAAAGACATTCATTTGGCCACATGCCTCCTGCTGACTGTGCCTATTCATGCATCCGTTTCACACCTCCTTGCAGAACGACTGAAATGTGTTGAAGTGATTAGGTTTATAGTACATTGAATCTTTCGACTGCCGGCATTGGTTGGGTTGGGTGAAAAAAAATTCCAGTGCAAAAGAGAAACCCTGATAAAAAGGCCTAAAAACACGTCAAAAATAACCCCAAACCTCTGCTTGGAGATTATGGCGTGAAAAGATAAGCCTATTGTGATTACCGTGAAAAACACTAAATTTACGTTTAACATTCAAGCATGTCCATCGCCTATAGCCTGCATCAACACGTACCCGATCCCTACTGTCCACCTGTGCTCCAATCGTGAATAGGAGTTCGGCAACACCGACATGTCCTCCTAAAGCTGCGTTATGAAGTGGCGTGTTTTCAAGCTGCATCAGGAACAAAGATGACATAACATGGTTGGAGAGCTCTATTCAGATTATTATAATAAGCACTATATATATATGTGTGATGCCCAGCACTCAAATATACCTATCACCTGTAGTAAGAATTAACCCTTACCCCATCTTTGCTGTCCACCTGTGCTCCAGCCTTCAGGAGGAGTTCAGCAACACCAACATGTCCTCTTTTACCTGCTTCGTGAAGTGGCGTGTTTTGAAACTGTCACAACAAGAACGGGCATTGCGTGGTTAGAGAAGGATATCGCCATTATCATTACGTGTTTTTATTTCCTACACAAAACTGTCATATTCAAAATCTTATATCCTTATTACCTTTGCTTAGAGAACTGTACATCATGGGGAACGATGCTGTATGCTGGTTTTTTTTTCAGATTGCGCCAGGGTTGTAGTAACAGAGGACATACAGTGTACGCGTATAAACGTCGTGGCGTCGGGTGGTGTAGTGGTAGATCATTCGCCTGTGAAACGGGAAACCCGGGTTCGATCCCGAGTCGTACTCGGGACGTTGTCATACGCCCGACGTTGTGTCCTGGGAAGGGCACTTTTCACGACTTTCCTCACAAAATATCCTCACTCCACTCAGGTGTGAATGGGTACCTAACCTCGGTTGGGGAAAGCCGTATTGATGTCACCTTAGCTTGTGACAGACTCTTCGGGTACGAAAAAAACGTCTCTCTTACTCACCCAGCCAAAGTTGACATCCACTCCCTGTTGGAGCAGCTCCGTCACTGCCTCTACATCTGCTTCCTCAACTGCAGTTAAAAGTTCCTAAAGGAAGTATAATTACGTAACACTTATTACTATAATACAACAGGAATGCAAATAGTAAAGATTCCAAGGGACAGTATCATTAATCGGCCTCCTGTAAGTATCTTGATTACAGTACGATTGTCATTTATCATTCTTGAAGAGTCACTTAGAGTCACTGGTATCATCTTTAGAGGCACCTTTACTCAATATCAATTAAATATCAATCCAGGTACTCAGACGTCTCTGTCAATATTTGTTTTACGCCACAGTTAGATCTATTACAAAGTCCCAAGGTGCAAAATAGTTAAAGTAAACATTAGATCAAGCTTTGGCAACCGATGTTTAAAGTCCACAGACACTGCGTTACTTACACGGTCAGAGTACAAGTTGATATTACACTAATTTTTGGCCAAAATGTTCATATTCTGGGAGAACATCAATCAAAATACTCACAAAATATCAAACTGTATCATTGTACAAGTCTTAACATCAACTAAACAATTTAAGTGAAGTTTCTTTGCCTTTAATACGTGGCCACAACCATTAATTCAAGATAAACCACTGCAATGAAATCCTGCAACACATAACGTAAAGTAAAAGAGTTTACCTGCTCACATGCCCGATTAGACATCTTGTAGATTTCTAGCCAAAGCTTTGCGTCTTGGGTCTCGACAGGAGTACAGCAATTTCAGTCTTTGTTGAGAAGTGTAACAGTAGGGTAAAGTTTCCGCCTACCTGTCCGCCATTTTTTAGATAAATCGATAATGTTACAATAACGCAATGGACTGTTCCATTCTATGTATATACTTGTTAATGTTACTTTATACTATACATTATGACAAGAGAAATTGGATACACTTTTTTTATCATTCGTGATTTTTTTGTAGGGGACTTTTAATTTTTAACGTCTAACATTTACTTAAGAAATATGAACTATCAATCTCCTAAAAATCATAAAATCATTAGCAACTTTTTGTGGTGTATTTTATCATTATCATGAGGGCCTAATGCAAGGAGAATATCATATGCAATAGTTTATTACTTCATATATAGCATTATTTTACACTGGCCGGGTACAGAAAGCACAAGACACGTTCATTTTCTCATTCATTTGATGTGAGCAGCAATTAGACCAAACAGTATTTTTTTATTACAAAATTATTTAGGGAAGACATACTTTACATGGAAAATCATATAATTTTTATCTTTTTGAATGAGATGTTATACTAAGCACTTTGCTCCTTGTAAAAATATTGAAGCATCAAATCAGCAAATCACAAACACTCCTAGTCCTCACAGTGTTAGCTATAGTGACTGAATCTCACTTGCCGCCAAAAAAAGATGTTTCCAGATTGACGATACGCTCACTGCTGTGTTGCAAGTGTACATGAACATACCTACATTTGTTATTTTTGTCCAGGCAACAAGTAAAAGGGACCTGAAAATGTTTACGTACTTAGAATAACCTTGCTCTCACGAAACATGGCCGCCCGGCGGAACTAATTAGATATTACGTCAATTTTATTAGAAGAAATGATATTGATAGTATGCTCAACCTACAAACAAAACATGGGTATACTTGTTTTACTTTCCAATTGTACGCCATTGCTGTACAAAACGCTAAAAGAAAACGTGTAGGCAGAAGTAAAGCACGTTATCCGGATAATCAGGAGATGCAATTGACCTTTGACCTAGGGGACGTTCACCTCTGACCTCACTATTCGACGGAAAGACCACACAAAGCTGCCCGAGTAGTCCCGATTTACGTGGAGAGAAAACACCGCCACTGGAGGCAGGTAAGGCTCCAAAACGAGCAGCCAAGTATTCTGATGGCGAGTAAAATAGTTAGAAATCATTTCTGTTGAAAAAGAACCAGAGCAAACTTGTGATTTATACCCTTTTTTCGGTTACGAATATGGTAGCAAATTATGAAGGGGGAGGGGGGCGAAACCTTGTCAGTTTGCAATTAGAACTCGGGCTATAAGTTACAGAAAAGTGGGATCTTTTGTCTTACTCTGTCTTCAAAACAGAAGTCAAACCCAGTGGTTTCAGGAGTTAACAGTGGTATTTTGTGTATTTAATTTAATTACTTTTTCTTGTACGAAATGTTTCTTCCGTACTTGTAATTAGCCCACGGGCATGAATTTTCAAGCTTCACTCAAGCACAAGGCACCAAGAGTTAAATACCTAGAGAGACTTTTTGACTCTGAACTGAACCACGCGAAACCGAGCACCAAGTGACCACGTCTAGCGATATATTAGACGTTAAACAAGGACAACAACAAGAAGCAATAAAACTTTATTATGTGATATTACATCCTGTTTGCCATAATTGCAAAAGTGCAGAGGAATGCCGGTTGCTTTGCCAGCTTTAGAATGGTGTGATTGATGCCTTTCCGATGTTTGTCCTGGCATGATAGTCTCTACCAATGTCCAATGTGTTGCTTGAATATTAATACTAAAAATACTAGTATGCCAAATACACAGAATTATATTTCAGAAATGTTAGCTGGCCATTTGAGTTCATTTTGTAACCCGTAGGGACCAATTTGTACTTCCAGCAACCGATTTGGTGGCAGCCCTTTCTTTGTTGTCCTGGCATTTATTTATTTCTGTTTTATTTAAACAGGGTAGAGACCTCAGTGCTATTTAAAAACACTGCTTTTCAGGAATGCCCTGTGACAACATGTTACACATGAAAACAATGAAACCAACATCAAACAATACATTTCGGCCTTGGTTGATGATAGTCTACAGGTCTTAATTATAAAGATAAAAGAGTGATTGGCAATGCAAGTTGTCTTTGTTTGTCTGTGACTCCCCCTACAGAACAGAAATGGAAGATTCCAGCTGTGAACTCTCTACTGGAAAACTGTCTGTTGAACAACCTGGATATGAGATGGACTTTACTGAACACCCTGGGAAGGAGAGTGACAGCAGGGAGACCCAGACAACAGACATGGGCCCGCAGCAGGAAACGTGTGATGTGAACTTTCCCCGACCTGTCAACACGTCAACCTCACAGGTACAGGTGAGCAATGGCAATAAGGGAAGACATGTGCATAAACACACCGGTGAGAAACCATACATGTGTGGGAAGTGTGGGTACAGGACAGCTGAAAAGGATCACTTATCCCAACATATGAGAACCCATCCAGCTGAAAGGCCCTACAAATGTGACCAGTGTGACTATTCTGCAACAAAGAAATCCCACTTGGACAGTCATCTAGTAAAGCACACTGGTGAGAAACCCTACACGTGTGAGGAGTGTGGGTACAGGGCAGCTAAAAAATTTGACTTAACCCAACATATGAGGATCCATACAGGTGAAAGGCCCTACAAATGTGACCAGTGTGACTATTCTGCCAGAAGGAAATCCCACTTGGACAATCATCTGGTAAAGCACACCGGTGAGAAACCCTACATGTGTGGGGAATGTGGGTACAGGGCAGCTCAAAAGTATCACATATCCCGGCACATGAGAACACATACAGGAGAAAGGCCCTACAAATGTGACCAGTGTGACTATTCTGCAACAAAGAAATCCCACTTGGACATTCATCTACTAAAACACACTGGTGAGAAACCCTACACGTGTGAGGAGTGTGGGCACAGTGTAGCTCAAAAGTATCACCTAATCCGACATATGAGGATCCATACAGGTGAAAAACCCTACAAATGTGACCAGTGTGACTATTCTGCAGCACAGAAATACAACTTGGATGCTCATCTAGTAAAACACACTGGTGAGAAACCCTACACGTGTGGGGAGTGTGGGCACAGGGTAGCTACAAAAAGGGACTTAGGCCGACATATGAGGACCCATACAGGAGGGAAACGCTACCAGTGTGACCAGTGTGACTTTTCTACAGCACAAAAACCTAAATTGTTCCGACATCTTGCAAAACACAAGTGTAAGAAACCCTACATATGTGGGGTGTGCGGATTCGCAGCAGCTAAAAACTCTAAATTATCCCGACATATGCGAACTCATACAGGAGAAAAACCCTACAAGTGTGACCAGTGTGACTTTTCTTCAGCACAGAAATACAACTTGGATTGTCATCTAGTAAAGCACACTGGTGAGAAACCCTACATGTGTGAGGAGTGTGGGTACAAAACAGCTAAAAAGTTTGACTTAACCCGACATATAAGGACCCATACAGGTGAAAGGCCCTACAAATGTGACCAGTGCGACTATTCTGCAATAAAGAAATCCAACTTGGACAACCATCTAGCAAAACACACTGGTGAAAAACCCTACACGTGTGAGGAGTGTGGATACAGGACAGCTCAAAGGTCTGACTTATCTGTACATATGAGAACTCACACAGTAGAGAGGACATACAAGTGTGACCAGTGTGACTATACTGCCTCGGTGAAATCTAATTTAGACCTACATGTAGCCAAGCACACTGGTGAGAAACCCTACATATGTGAAGAGTGTGGATACAGGGCAGCTCAAAAGTTCCACCTATTACAACATATGAGAACACATACAGGAGAAAAACCTTACAAGTGTGACCAGTGTGATTATTCTGCAGCACAGAAATCCACATTGGACAAACATCTAGCAAAACACACTTGTGAGAAACCCTACATGTGTGGGGAGTGTGGATACAGGGCGACTCAAAAGTCTCACTTATCCGTACATATGAGAACTCATTCTGGAGAAAAACCTTACAAGTGTGACCAGTGTGACTATTCTGCAGCACAGAAATGCCAATTGGACAACCATATAGCAAAACACACCGGTGAGAAACCTTACATGTGTGGGGAGTGTGGGTATAGAACAAAGCGAAAGACTCACCTATCCCAACATTTGAGAACCCATACAGGAGAAAAACCCTACAAGTGTGACCAGTGTGACTATTCTGCTACACACAAATCATCTTTGGACCAACATCTAGCAAATCACGCTGGTGAGAAACGCTACATGTGTGAGAAATGTGGCTACAGGACAGTTCGTAGTTCTGACTTATCCCAACACATGAAAACCCACACTGGAGAAAAACCTTATAACTGTCGTTTCTGTAGCTACTCCGCAGCAAAAAATCTCACCTGATTGCACATGCGATACGACATCAAAAAGATATTAAATCTACAAGTGTGGCAAGTATACAACCTACACATTTGTCCTCTTGTAACGAGGAAGGCAAAATGGAAGAAGAACCTCTCCAGGAGTGACCATGTTAACTGTATACTGTACTTGGGCCTAATAACTACTCTGCATGGTAGGTGGACGTGCCCAGGCAGGTCTGCAAAAATTATTTTTATAGCAAATGTGCCATAGAAAACCCTGTGTAAACTCGCACCCCATTAGATAGGACCTAAATATCTAGGCATAGATGTACTGTTTTTATGTTGAATTTGACTGTATATTTAAATATTGTACTTTAAATAGAATAGAGGAGGAATGCCATATTATAATAGAAAATGAACTAAATGTATAGGTTTAACGTTTGTATAAAACCGATATCCATTCATGTACTTAAGTTCTGTGGGAAAATTATACTCCTAATAATAATATGCAACTAGACAAACCTTCCATCGAAAAACATATCTGTTCGTTTATTTCTACAATAGCTCAAAAGCGAGGAGAATATGAATTTATGTACCGATAGTTAATTTCACTTAGTATGTGTTCATCATGTTTATTGTGACCTGTAATTAGCCCCGCGTGGCAAAATGTGACCTCTAGTGCAACGTAGGCAGATTTGCAGTGCAACGTATGCAGATCTACGTGTTGATAATTAAAAAAATTTAAAAGAATTTGTAAATATTGTAGTGCAAAGGCTGAGGAAGACGAAATACATTTTATTTCAAAGTGTTCATTCCATAACAACGCTCGAAATGAGTTGACTGTCCAGACTTCTACAATACATCCCAATTTCTCTAAACTTACAGACAAAGAAAAAACTATTCTTCTTTTAACTTCCCGAAACCCACAAATTTTGGAAAAGGTGGGACATTACGTCTTCCATCATGGTTACAGAAGAGAAGTCAAACCCTTCAGACATAGTTTTAGATATAGTTATAGTTATAGACAGTTACCTTTACCATGTAGACTTAAGTTATTTTATACTCTATTTCATTGTTCTTTTATGTTTATAATTTGCAATAAGCCTCCGGGCACGAATTTGCAATAAACTTTTCAATTAAAGTGCATTGATCCTTTACACACTGTGTGGTGAATAGTGCAACACTCAATTCCATTACTGTAGCCCCTGGAACACGCTTGTGCAATAACCTTACAGCAGAGTGACCACTCTACAGGGACCATTTCCGCTTTATTACGTAGAGTGACCACTCTACAGGGACCATTTCCGCTTTAGTACGTAGAGTGACCACTCTACAGGGACCATTTCCGCTTTAGTACGTAGAGTGACCACTCTACAGGGACCATTTCCGCTTTAGTACCTAGAGAGACCACTCTACAGGGACCATTTCCGCTTTAGTACATAGAGTGACCACTCTACAGGGACCATTTCCGCTTTAGTACGTAGAGTGACTATTCTACTAGGACCATTTCCGCTTTAGTACGTGGAGACCACTCAAACAAACGAAGCAGCTTGGGCTAAGTGAAGTTCATTGACCTGAAATGCTAGAAAAAAACTTAATTGGGCGCAAATGATTGCTGAAATTTAGATGTTATATTATTGTCCTGTTGGACTTTTTACACAACATTTTCAAGTAATTTGAAGTCTTAATCAGGTCACAGACCCTTGACTTTTTTTGCCCTGCGGCGGTATAGTTACTTCCGCATTCGTTGCGTTTTGCTGTGGTGTGATCCGTTGCTCGAGAAACACTGCCAAATCGTACATACACAGAGCACTATATAGATGTCACTTATTGTGCAAGCCATATATATGGGTCCCGCTGGACAAGGGTAGAGGGTCTGGATGCCTTTTTGTTTATTCCTTTTGCTGTGCTTACTTTCTTAGTGTCGTTAATAGTCCCACAGGGCCGTTTATTGTGTGTACGTGTTTACCAAAGCGTTTCAGTTCCTAGGCTCGGTGCGGGTACGGGACACTGTGACACCAAAGACGCATTTATCCCAACACTGAAACTCCTATTAAAACAGGTAAAACCCCAAGTGTGACCAGCGTGATTTTTCTGCCGCAATAAAATGATCTGTAAACATGTATCGTGGGGGGAGTTATATAATGGAAATAAAAACACGCTCTTTTGTAATGTTGGGAACTTGATACTCGTCTTACCAGCGAAGTGTTTATGTCTTTTACGCTTTATTTAGAAAACAGGAACCGAAAACAGGAGTCGAGTGTTCGATAGCGGAACTGTGAAGTGTCGAAACACTATAATTCATTTAACACAGACCACATTACCGAGCAAAAACATAGATCCGTGTCTAAAACATTCAATATGTCTCCTAACCAGGCATGTTTGGTCCTCCTCTTTGCCTGCTTGGTTACAGATTGTGTTCGGGGAACGCTACAGTTGTCCGCGACCGTTCCAGAAAACGCTCACGCCGGGGAAACCGTCACTCGTGTTCGGGTGGACCAGGGGGAAGATCGGGAGGAAGTCAGGTGTGAAATTGTCGCCGGAGACGAGAACGGGCGCTTCCGTGTGACCGACTGCGTGATCCAAGTGGCACGCCCGTTGGACTACGGCGTCCACCCCGGCTATAACCTCACAGTCAACGTCACTGGGTCTTCCAAAAGGTACGAGCAGCTGTATGTTGACGTACAAGTACAAGACGTGGAGGGATACCCGCCTGTTTACAACGACACGTGCGAAATGCCGATACGGAGTGGCCCGGGGAAGTCCGGTGATTCCTTCGTCGATATCAAATGGCAAGGTGAGGCCATGGTTGAGGCAGCCGGAGTGATTTCTGTATCGAAATATTTTCATCACAGACGTAAGGATATTAGTCCACCATTGTCATTCTCTATGTATTACATTACCGTGAACAGTGACTGTCAGCTACAGGTAACATGGGCCCCAGGCCACCCCGCAGACATTAGAACCATTGAGAGTCTCTTTTTAGGAAAAGTATCGTGCATCTATTGTTACGATCCAAAAGACTCCTCTATAATCGAAATCGCATTGTTCAATGGCGGAAGGGACACTAGGTGTAGTGAACATACCCCTCTGCCTACACCTGAAATCAAAAGGCACTATGTACTTGTCGGTTCAATGCTTGTAACTTCAAGAAAAAGACAACGTTTCACATGCGACGTACCTGATAAAACGTCCATAATCGTCAACAAAGATGCCACACATTTAGAAGTAAATAATTTGGAAGTTGAATTCGAGCCGGTAGGATGTCCCCCGAACAGGTACGGCGTGATGTGCAACCAGAACTGCACCTGTGAGAACGGCGCCCGCTGCCATACACTGAACGGGGCCTGCAAGTGCAGGCCTGGATGGCAAGGTGTCGTCTGCGACATACCTCACAGAACCGTGGCCATCACCGCGACCCCTGGCGACTCGCGACGGATTTACATCACCGGCTCTGTAAAGCTGCAATGCAAGGTTTTCCATCTGGCTGCTGAAAGGATGATGTGGATATTTCCTAATAAAACTGGAAAGTGGCTACAGGGCGCTGACGAAGGTAGTGTAAGGATTGACAGCATCCAGTCCGAACACAACGGTACCTACACTTGTACTGTGTTAACGGAAGACGGGGCGGTCATTAACACAAGTTACGAGCTTCAGGCCGTCGCCTGTCCTCCCGGTAAAACGGGTGAATCGTGCCGAGAAGAGTGCGTCTGTAGCCACGGTGGCAGCTGTGACCGGTGGGCCGGATGTGTCTGTCCGCCGGGATGGACGGGACCCACGTGTCAGACCTCATGTCCAACGGCAAGCTACGGACATGGCTGCAACAGCCGGTGTGGTTGTCAGCATGACGCCGCCTGCGCTCCCACCGACGGCCGGTGTAACTGCACGACGGGCTGGTTCGGTAGACACTGCAGCAGGCCGTGCCTCGCAGGTCGGTACGGATGGAGATGTCGGCAGGCCTGTGCCTGTAAGAACAACGCCACCTGTCACCACGTGGATGGAACCTGCGCCTGCGAGCCACCCTGGACCGGCAAGCGGTGTGACGTCAACGAAAGGGATACGTACACATTCCGGCTGTCGCTTCAGATTATCATACCCCTCACATTGGTTCTGTTAGTGGCCGCTCTGGTACTGTTTACACGCTACAAACGAAACATAAGTAAACATGCGGCACAAGAAGAGCGTCTAGAGGAGACCAGAGCTTTGCTGGAGCTGAGAAGTATGGAAGAAAACCTGGCACAGAGTTTGCAGCCAGGCTGGCTCCACCGATGGGAAAGGAACGCCGACGATCTGACTCTGGGCGAACTGGTCGGACTGGGCGCGTTTGCGCAGATCAGAAGAGGGCAGCTTTGTATAGCTGGTGCCAACGTCACGGTGGCAGTCAAGTCCGTCCGCGGGGAGGACAGGCGGTGCTACCGAGCCTTCTGCAGGGAAGTCGCCGCGCTGATAACCGTGCACGAAAACCGCGATGACCAACATGGCGGACACCCCAACATCGTCAAGCTGTTTGGAGTCGTGACGAAGTCCTCGCCGAAGTGTATTCTCTTAGAATTTGCTGCCAACGGCGAACTTTTGGCAATCCTTAGACAGCAACCTCGTCAGAACGGTCCTCTAGTCAGGTTTCTCCGCTATGCCGTCCAGATATCCCGTGCCCTGAGCGAGCTCCGACGTCTGCGGATCGCTCACGGTGACGTGGCCGCCCGAAACGTCCTCGTCAGCGGCGATAACGTGGCCAAACTTGCGGACTTCGGTCTGGCCCATGACGTCTACACCACAACTACCTACGTGTCCACAGTCCGGACTGACGCGGACGAACTCCTTCCCCTGAAGTGGATGGCTCTGGAGTCGCTAGAGTCTCGCGAGTTCACGTGCGAGAGCGACACGTGGTCGTTCGGCGTGCTGCTGTGGGAGATCACTGCCTTCGGGGAGGAGCCCAGCTACCAGCGCCAACTGAGTTGTCCCAAGTTGGTGGGGATCCTGAGGCGAGGAGTCCGTCTGGAGAGGCCGCCCGGATGTCCGGAGAAGCTGTATGACGTCATGAAGTCGTGTTGGCAGGAGGACCCTTCGGTAAGGCCAGAGCCGGCAGAACTGGAACAGAAACTGACGGAATGTCGTCACGAAATGGAGCCGCTTCTGGTAATGGAGAAGGAAACCTCAGTTTAATCCATACTGAGCAGCAGTATTAGTATCATATTAGTTTCATATTAGCAATGTTAGTATCATTAGGACCGCCAGCAGTGGAAGACTTTGGCCAAACATAATGTTACCCCGACGGCTGACTAAGCTATGGGAGAGAGTGAGTGGGTGAGTGATAATATATCAGGACATGTATCGGTATAGCCAGTATAACCTCCCTTCGGCGTAACACACCAGCATTTCACCTCAAGAGCGCGTCTCTGAAATGTAGCTGATAGTTGGGAAGTCGGCCTGTCCAAACTGTTAAGATGGTTTACCGGAAATCTTTCAATATCAATCCATAGACGTCAGAATCATATTTATATAGATAGAGTATTTGCATTACACCGTATGAATAGGTGGGGTTGGGACGTGGGTCATATAAGGTTAATGAGCAATGCTAACATTTTGATTTTACTTTTTTGTGTTTTTTATTCTTCAGAATATACTGGCAATTGTGCTGTAAATTAGCTACAGTATGATTGAGCCTTTAGGACTGTCCGGGTGACCCATCCAATTCCTTTGTAAATTTTTTTACATGAAATAATATACTAGATTGTAGATTGTTAAGTCACCTTTAAGTTATTTGTTGCTGTTATGCTTTGTCATGCCTTGTCTTGTCAGCAGAACAAGCCTTTTGTAATAGCCACTGGCTAGTTCGGCTGCCCTGGCTGTGAGGTTTGAACAGCTAAACAGATAGATACAATAAATAGATACAATAAATAAAAGAGACATCTTCCAGAGACATGGCCCGAAACTAACCTGAACTCTGTACTGAATGACACGCGTTAACCACAAGTGCTTTGCTTGCTAATAAAAGCACAAAAATTAGTACTTTGTAGCGATTTCATGTTCACTGGGTCACTTATACGTTTTCATAAGCCGAAATGAAACATGCCCATAGGGCTTTAACTCATCAAAGCATATTGTATTCAGGTAGATTCTAGCCTCCTTTTATGTGTATTCTGGTACTCGGTTGGGTTAAGGCAGCCTATGGCCAACTATGAGTAGTATTTCATACATATGCCTGTAACTTTTGATAGCTTGGTCGCACCACAACTAAACTTCACACAGTTCTAGTAGTACTTGAAACACATTGAATAAAGGTTATTTTGTTTTTACTACTTCTGGATTTTGGGGTTAAAAATCAACATTTTGGTTAAAAAAAGCTGTTTACTTCATGGCTTTACGCGCAAGCGGTAACAACACCTTTCATCATGATATTTTACAAGTAGAAAGCCAACCCCCTATTTATTATTTTTGTCCGAGGCTATTTTGTTTTAAATGACAGTTACATTGTTTTTTGGGGCTAAAAACGACAGAAACAGCTATTTTTCTGTCATTTTTCGTTAAAAAGTCGCCAAAGTTAAAAGATATCGACTTATATGCAAAATAGCCTCGGAAAATCTTGATAAAAAAAGTTATAATACGTAAACATGGATTACTCTAAACATCAATTATGCTGTTTTGGGCTGCGCGTAAAGCCGTTTAAGTCATACTCCGTGAATAAAATGCGTAACAACGCGGGTGTACGGGGGAAACATAGAAATGACCGCCGGTAACCCCGAATTCGAACACGCGATCTATTCGAATGACGTCATATCGAACATGGTGGAACATGATTCGGGTTCGAAACATGTCTGTGGCCATCGTGCAGACACACGTCCGAACTCGAACATGAATATCAGCCTAGGCCGCCTTAACCCAACCGAGTATATTCCACATACAACGAGCTTTAGGGTGAATTGGACCATGCGTAGTTTAGTTTTTTAATCAAATTGTGAAGTGTTTTTACATATCTTTAATAATACATTACAGGAGTAATTAAACTTACTTCCGGCATTTACTATAGACTATGACAAATAATTTTTCAACGATTATGCATTTGTATTATCATTTCTCTTGACATCACTCTCTTCTCAGTCACTTATCTCACGAATTTTAATAAAAGTATCATGAAATGCGTCAGAAAAGCCAACTCTATATTAGGTTTCATAACTCTATGTTAGGTTTTATAAAACGCTAAACTCTATGTTAGGTTTCATAAAACAGATCTGTTTCGCTAAGGTTCCTCCCCCACCTGAACCACTGATCATCAGTGAACATACCCTGGAAACCGTGACATGCATCAAGGTTCTCGGCCTGACGATTCAAAACAATCTGAAATGGGACCAGCAAGTGGACAGTATGGTGAAATCCTCAAATAGGAGACTCTACATGGTACGGTGGCTGAAGAGATTCGGTGTGTCAGTTCCTGACCTGGTGTCTGTCTACACCGTGTACGTGCGTCCTTTACTGGAATACGCAGTGCCCGTGTGGCATCCGGCCTTGACTTCTAAACAATCTAAGACTCTAGAACGGATCCAGATGAGGGCCTGTAAAATTATATTGGGATCACAGTATACGAGCTATAACATGGCACTGACAACCCTGAACCTCAGCTCCCTTGCTGACCGACGTCGTGAACTTTGTAGGGCATTTGCAGAATCCCTGCTGAACTCTGAGTTTCGTGATTGGTTGCCCCCGCTGAGACAGAACATTTCCGGTAGAAGTACACGTAATGCAAATAAATTTGATGTTCCACTCTGTCGGTCTGCACGTCACAAGAACTCACCAATTCCTTTTTTAGTTGAACTGTTAAACGCCAAGTAAACAATATAGTACTTGCGCTCAGACTTCACTTATCTGTCGTGTCTGCAGTACCTTGTACACTGAGTGACCCAGCGGCACAGACGTCTTCTCTTCTGTGTTTTATGATATATTTTAATTTGTTATGTTATGTAATGCATTATATTTGTAAACGAAAGCGCATTTCACTTAAAATGATTGTCTGTAATCTTATTAACGTTTCCCGAATATTGTAATGAGCAACACAATTCAGACTTAAGTCTGCGAGTTGTTTAATAAAGACTGAATTGAATTGAATTGAAAAAACGCTTTGTAGGCTACACGTCAAGTGTTGATACTCGGAAAACACTTTACGTAACTATGGTTAGAATTGTACTTGAGTATTGCTCTTCTATTTGGTGCCCTGGATCACGTAATCTGATTAGTGTTGTAGAAGGCATCCAACGTCGGGCAACCAGGTATATACTTGGCGTAGTTCCTGAACATCTCGATTATAAATCCAGATTGTATTCTCTTGGTATGTTACCACTCGCATTCAGGAGAGAAGCGGCCGACGTCGTACTCTTTGCTAAGTCTATGGCAAACTTGTGCGACTCAGATATGTTGAAATATGTTTCTTTTCTTTGAGAAGCATGAGAAGCGCAAGATCTCACATGTGAACCTTGACATCTTACAACAATGCACATATCGTAAGGATACATGTTGACTGCCTTGTCACCCGCAAGCATTAGCAATGCTTTGATGTTACTGGTAATACGATTCGCATGTAATACATGACTGAAAGCACTGCAAATCGTGCTATAATCGCTAGGTGGTGCATGGAATGCTGATTTACCCGCCACATACTATTACTAGTACATTATTCATTCGTGACGTTATTATCTTCGCCAAGAAGGTTATGTTTTTAGTAGCGTTTGTGTGTGTGTGTGTGTGTGTTTGTGTGTGTGGTTTAGCAAGATAACTCAAGAAGCAGTGGATGGATTGAATTGAAACTTGGTAGGTGGGTAGTTTTTCATGAGACCTAGAAATAATTAGATTTTGGGCCCCCTGGCGGCTTTCCTAGGTACTGCAGCTGGACTTCCGGTTTTGATATCTCATGTTCTGGACATGCTAGGGTCACGAATTTTGGTTGGTAGATACCTCTTGGGGTAGGGAAGAAGTGACATGAGTTTGGGTCCCCTAGCTCCTTGTTCTGGAACATCTGAGTATATAGCTATAGATTATGTAAATAAGGACCTAATTTGCATAATTAATGGCAATTTCTTATAATTCCATAGTTTTAACTGTTGCACCCCGAATTTCATACTTGCCACATTTGGAAGTTAAGTGAAGGTGAACATCAATAAACAAAATTTATTCAAATCATTACCTCATTTGCATAATTTATGAGGAAGTTCTATTATAGCCTTTTTGTTATGATAAGGCTGTCATTGGATGGAGAATATGATCAGCCGAGCAAATGAGGCTCTTATTTACAAAATCAATGATTAAAATTGTATAATTCGTCACCCGCAAGGGTTCACATCATTTGGCGAAGGTATGAGATCGTGGAACTCTTGTTTGGCTTTCCAATACTGGTAGCCACAGTAGATAGCGGGCAGTATGGCTTCGCAATATTATAACGTCATTCTCAGCTCATTCATAGTTCTAACTTTAGAAACATATCGGACAAGACTGGCAATGAAAACATACATACCACCATTCTATACATTGCCATGGCAACGGTATTTTGTTGAGAGGGTTATTGATTGCATGGTACTACAATATGTATCATGATTTTGGGGAAGCCCTTGTGGTCTTACATGGGTTTGTCAAAAATGACATTTGAGGTCGCAAGTCTCTGGGAGAACCTGCCCTGCTTTCTGTGTGCCCCCCGGGGCTCGTTCACTATACACCCAGGGGAGGGTAGGAGTGATCTACTAAACTGCACTGTGTATAGTATCTGTCTAGACTTAACAAGGTACATGGATACTTTCCTATAGTGCGCAGCAGTATAAAAATAAACATCGATAGTCATCAGTTTCATTGCATCTTTATTAGATCACTCCCACCCTCCCCTGGGTGTATAGTGAACAAGCCCTTATACACTGTATAATGTCCTTGCTTACATAATGTCCTTGCTTACATGGACAAGGATCTTGTTGTAAATACTTGAAGCAAGGACAGTATAATGCCCTTGCTTGAAGCGAAATTATGAATTATATGTGTAGTCGGTATAGATAATAAGGTAGCCTGTGTGCCAGACTGTTCGCAAGGCTAATATACAGGCCAGTCCCGAGTTACATTTTGTAGACCATGAGAAAACATTGAGGGGGTACTGAGAAATTGTGGTAAAATGTCCCGGGGGACAGGTTGACCTC